GTCCTGATGTGGGATTCCCCTCTGTATGCTATGAATACTACTAATAAAGGATCTGCTTTGGGCCTTTTGCAGCACAGAATAGGGCAAGGTGGGAATTCCAAGCAGATAGAGGAGGAGAGAGTAGGCAGAGTCAGGGAGAAGCTGTGTAACCACCCCCTGCAGGAGACAGACGCTGGATGGAAATTTACCGCTAGGCCAAAGCACAAGGTGATACGCAGATTGATAGACATAGGCTAATTTAAGATACAAGAGTTAGCCAGGAATATGCCTAAGCTAGTAGTCCAAGCAGTGTTTTAATTAATAGTTTCTGTGTGATTATTTCGGGTCTGGGTGGCCAGGAACCAACGAGCGGCCTCTGCCTACACAGTCCCTTGTGGGTGACTTTCTGGACTGTGTAGGGCGGGAACCAAAGCCAAGTTCTCTCAACTTTTTCACACAGCCCCAAAAATCTACAGACTGTCCCTCTCACCATTTGCCAAGCACCTCCCCAATCATCCATTTTCTGAAACATCTTAATTTCAAAATTCACCAGGATACCCCAGGAAAGCCTGTTTGGATACAGGGTCCTGGCTTCTCTCAGCAGCCTCTGCCCTGACCCTCTCCCGCCCCTGGCTTCCCTTCCCTTCTCTCAGCTTCTGATTCCTATATAATGTCAGCTATTTTCACTACTTAGTCTCTTGATCTCTGGGTCCTCGGCTCTTCTGTCCCTCCCCATCTCTTCCTCTTTTGTCCGTCCCCCAACCCACCGCCCGTTCAGTCTGGACTCTTCCAAGTGCCTCTGGCTGAATTCTCCCTCGTATCTGCAACAAAACTTCTCCTGAACCGTGCCATATTTTCCCCATTCAGCAACCCTGACCACTCACCTCTTCTGGGTCACTTCATTCCGGGACCCTCACATCACTTCCCAGCCAAGAACTCTATGAAGTGTAGTCTGCAAATAATACCATGGCCACACGGTGGCAGCACGGACCTGTGTTTCTAAACGAGAGCCTTTTCAGCAGTGTCTTGGACTTCAGCTGCTGGGTGGTACACCGACCTCTGCAGCTTACCTGCTTGGGGCCCTAGCCAAACCCAGCGTTGGTAGTTTCTTCCTCTCTGATGGTATTGTCCAAGCCAGCTGGGAGAAAATGCTCCTTCTCATACAGCCGAGCAACTGGGACCATATCACCAAGTCCTTAGAGTGACTGGGAATAGAACCTGGAACCAAGGGTATTTCTAGGCAGGTGCTCTACCTCTGAGCCACATCCTAAGCCCTCTTTTACTGTTTTGAGACAGGTGCCATTAAGTTGCCCAGGCTCACTCGAACTAATTCTGTAAACCTGGCCGGCCTTGAACTGGCAATCCTCCTGCCTCCACCTGCTCTTGTTGCATGCTCTCTTACTCAAAGCCTCCACACACCCTAGCCTTCCTGGTGTTGGAAGGTACTAGAATTATTCCTGCCTCAGTACCTTTGTCCAGGCTGCTTCTTCTGGCTACAGCACCTCCCCCTCCCCCTGTCATAGGTCATTTCCTCAAATCTTTGTCTTCTAGAAGTTCGGTGGATTTTACTTTCTGGTGCTGTGGTTGGAGTGCAGAGCCTGCGGCCTGCTAAGCAAACACTGTTGGCCCCACCCCAGCCTACTTGATGTGCGGTACCAGTAAGGACCTAGGGACATAGTGCCACTTGAGGGACTTTCAGCCTCGTGACCCTGTGCACACAGTTTCAAATGCCACGTCTGCTGCATTTGTTTGTAACAAACTTTTACGGGCTGTTCTTATCTCAGGACTGGAGTTCTGATCTCGGCCCCCACTTCAGGTGACTCCAGAATGCCTGTAGTCCCAGCTCCAACTCACTAATGTCGCTACTAGGTTTATTTGTTTGTTTGTTTGCTGGTCTTTATTTTCCCATTTATTTGTTTGGTTGGTTTGGTTTTCAAGACAGGGTTTCTCTGTAGCCCTGGCTGTCCTGAACTCACTCTGTAAACCAGGCTGGTCTCGAACTCACAGAGATCTACCTGCCTCTGCCTCCCAAGTGCTAGGATTAAAGGCATGTGCCACCACCACTACCCAGCTACTTTCCATTATTATTATTATTATTATTAATTTATTTTTATTATTTATTTATGTGTGCATACATATGGTGCCCATGTGGCCGAGGACAACTTTACTTACAGTCGCCAACACCCCCCACCCCCCATTTCCCCATCCCCTCCACACCCCCCACCCCTGCTGGGTTGGGTCTCAGAGAGGGAACTTAGGCTGCCAGCTGGCTGAGCAACCTTCCCAGCTCATTCTAAGGAGAAACTGATGTTGGAACAATGTTGCAACAATCAAGCTGCTTTTTAAAATATTTTCTTCCTGGGGCTGGAGAGATGGCTCAGCAGTTAAGAGCACTGACTGCTCTTCCAGAGGCTCTGAGTTCAATTCCCGGCAACCACGAGGTGGCTCACAACCACCTACCTATGAGATCTGGTGCCCTCTTCTGGCCTACCGGCAGGATACTGCATAAATAAATAAATAAATAAATAAATAAATAAATAAATAAATCTTTAAAAAATGCACAAAACTCAAGTCCAAATGGATCAAAGACCTCAACATAAAGCCAGCCACACTGAACCTTATAGAAGAGAAAGTGGGAAGTACACTTGAACGCATTGGCACAGGGAACTACTTCCTAAATATAACCCCAGCAGCACAGACACTGAGAGAAACAATTAATAAATGGGACCTCCTGAAACTGAAAAGCTTCTGTAAAGCAAAGGACATGGTCAACAAGACAAAACGACAGCCTACAGAATGGGAAAAGATCTTCACTAACCCCACATCAGACAGAGGTCTGATCTCCAAAATATACAAAGAACTCAAGAAACTGGACACCAAAAGAACACATAATCCAATAAAAAAAATGGACTTCAGACCTAAACGGAGAACTCTCAACAGAGGAATCTAAAATGGCTGAAAGACACTTAAGGAAATGTACAACATCCATTGTCATCAAAGAAATGCAAATCAAAACAACTCTGAGATTTCATCTTAAACCTGTAAAAATGGCCAAGATCAAAAACACTGATGACAACTTATGCTGGAGAGGTTGTGGGGAAAAGGGAACACTCCTGCATTGCTGGTGGGAGTGCAAACTGGTACAGCCTGTTTCGATATCTGTATGGTGATTTCGCAGAAAACTAGGAAACAACCTTCCTCAAGACCCAGCAATACCACTTTTGGGTATATATTCAAAGGATGCTCAATCGTACCACAAGGACATGTACTCAACTATGTTCATAGCAGCTTTGTTTGTCATAGCCAGAACCTGGAAACGACCTAAATGCCCCTCTACTGAAAAATGTGGTACATTTATGCAATGGAGTATTACACAGCAGAAAAAAATAATGACAGTTTGAATTTTGCAGGAAAATTGATGGAACTTATTTTGAGTGAGGTAACCCAGACCCAGAGAGACAATTATCACATATACTCACTCATAGGTGGTTTTTAAACATAAAGCAAAGAAAGCCAGCCCACAAATCACAATCCCAGAGAACTTAGACAACAATGAGGACACTAAGAGAGACTTATATAGATGTAATCTACATGGGAAGTAGAAAGTAGAAAAAGACAAGATCTCCTGAGTAAATTGGGAGCATGGGGATCTTGGGGGAGGGTTGAAGGGAAGGGGCGAGGCAGGGATGGGAGCAGAGAAAAATGTAGAGCTCAATAAATATCAATAAAAAATATTTTCTTCCTGCTTCTTTTGTTCTTCCTCTGCAGAAAACAATTGCTTCTGCTCGCTTTCTGGGACACTTACTGTTCCATAAAATAAAATTTTGTCAGTTGTAGAGTCAGAAATAAGACCGGTTGCATGCCAGTCCTTCTAGCACTTGTACGGGTGCGCGGTCACACACACACACACACACACACACACACAGAGAGAGCGAGAGATTTTTTTTTTTTTTATTGTTGCTCTCTTAAGAAGGCGTCTCTTGTAGCCCAGGGTGGCCTAGAACTCCTGGCTATAGGATTGTGGCACCAGACCCCACTTAAAACTCTTTGTATTCTTGTAGTTTGCCCTTTGATACACATCTTACCAGGAAGAGCAAATTAAAACCACAGTGAAGTCTGACTTGGCATTCGGTGCATGGGTAAGGTAAGAAGGATAATGACATATACTGGCAGATGTGGGGAAATCGGAACAACGTTGCCCTCCTATCAGGAGGGGGAGGCAGAAGGCTCACTTGTCTCCTGGATTTCAGGGCCGTTTGATGAAAGACGTCAGCTTACTGCATAACTCGAATCTCAACACTGACCTCACTAGACAGGAGGAGCATGCCTTCAGTGCCACCTTAAACTTTTTTAATACTATTGTTTTTTTCACGTGTGTGGGTATTTTGCCTGCATATGTGAGAGTGTGTGTGCCTGGTGCCTGCAGAGGCCGGAGAGGGCACTGGATCCCCTGGGACTGCAGTTACAGATGGTTTCCAGCTGCTATGTGGATACTGCGGAATTGAACCTGGGTCCTCTGTAAAAGCAGTCAGTGCTCTTACCTGTTCTCATCTTTCCAAGTTTAGTCTTGTGAGACCCTGTTTCAGAACAAAATAAAATGAACAACTCTTGTACATCAGTATCTAATGCAAAGGACGGCCCAGGACACACCAAAGCCAAGTTCTCAGCACAAAGGAGATTTGTCGACCCCAGAGGAACAAAAGGCAGGAAATAAGGGACAAAGACACAGACAGGAGACAGAGGACGAGGGACGAGGAGAAAAGAACAAGGGAAGGGAGGGGGATATTTGCCCAGAGGGACAAAGTACTGCCTCTAGATAGAGAAGAAACAGACTCATCCCATAGGCAAACGGCAGTTTATAAAGATAAGAGGGGAACCCTGTGTTAGGATAAGTTGGTTAATTTTGATTGGGCATGTTAACTAAGGCATTGAAGGGGGATTTGATTGCTGAACTTCAGGACTTTGACAGCTGAACCTTGGTAGTCAGCATCTGGAGGAAGAAATGGCTAAGCAAGGGGGTAGACCTTGAGGGAATGTAATCTATTGGTTTAGCAAAGAAGAGGGGGTGGGTGAAGGGCAGAGCCTTGTCTGCTATGCTCAGGGTGGCTGGAGTTCTTCATCCCCACGTTTCCAATTGATTATTGGGTCACTGGTTGTGGGGAAAGTGGGTGTTTTTCTCTCTGCTTCCTGCTGACATTTGGGGCAGTGTTGTTAGGGACCCAAGGAAGATTTGTTATTGGTCAAGGTTGAGAAGAACTGGCTGTGTCAGTCAGTGTCCAGGTTCGGCAAGTTCATCCCAGCTTAGGGAAATGTAGTCTAGGTGGCTAGACCAGGATGTAGATTTTGAGGAAACAGCTGGAGCTGGAGTCTGGAGCTGGAGCAGGAGCAGGATCAGGATCTGGAGCTGGAGCAGGAACTGGAGTCTGGAGTCTGGAGTCTGGAGCAGGAGCTGGAGTCTGGAGCTGGAGCAGGATCTGGAGCTGGAGCAGGAGCTGGAGTCTGGAGTCTGGAGCAGGAGCTGGAGTCTGGAGCTGGAGCTGGAGCAGGATCTGGAGCTGGAGCAGGAACTGGAGTCGGGAGCTGGAGCTGGAGTCTGGAGCTGGAGCAGGAGCTGGAGTCTGGAGCTGGACTCTGGAGCTGGACTTTGGAGCTGGACTTTGGAGCTGAAGCAGGAGCTGGAGCTAGAGTTGGTGCTAGAGCAGGAGTCTAGAGCTGGAGCAGGAGCTGAAGCAGGAACTGGAGTCTGGAGTCTGGAGCAGGAGCTGAAGCAGGAGCTAGAGGAGGAGCAGGAGCTGGAGTCTGGAGCTGGAGCTGGAGTCTGGAGTGGAGTCTGGAGCTGACACACAGTCTGCTGGGACAGACGAAATAGGGACAGAGGTAAAGTTAAGGAGTTTAGGGGAAAATATTTTATCTTAGGTGTACATTTGACACTGTTAGGCCCATGGTCCTGGTACTTGAGAAGAGGAATCCCAAGATCAGGTTCCACCCTCAGGAATAGGTAATAGGCAGGAAAACTTAGGTTGTTGGTTGGCAAGAGTACTTATCTGGAGTCTGTTTGAGAGTCCTTGAGAGGAGCCAGGGAAATTTAGATAGGTTATATAAGGTTATTTGTGGGAGCAGCGACTGGTTGTGTGTATGTAGGGGAATACAGTTTGAGGGGCTTCCATTACATCAGAATAGTCTTTCCTGGGGTGTCCAGGTAGGTTTTGAAATTGAGACATTTTAGGGACATGGATGATGGGAGTGGCTCTTGGCAAACAGTGATAGGCACAGTCTGTAACAGATTTTGAGGATTGGTGTGGAAAGATTGAGAGAACTTGGCTTTGGTTCCCAAATGGGGATGGGGATGGTGAAGGGGACAAGCAGTCAGTAACTGGGAGGTGGGCATTGGCAACTGGGTTATCTCTGGCAATGGATGGCGCGGAGGGTGGGCACAGAGAACGCTGAAGCCATGGGGGGCATTCTGGGAGAGAACGGTGAGAAAGAGCAGGTCCTGAACACAGTGAAATGTAGTGGTGTATTATTTGTGTCTTAAAAAATAAATTTAATAAAAAAAACTTGCCTGAAGGTCAGTGCAAAACAGCCACACTAGTCAGCCACGCACGCCAAGGACTGGTGGCCCACACCTGTAATCCCGGCACTAGCGAAGACTGAGTGGAGGAGACAGGAACTCGTCCTTCGGTCTGCAGACTTCAAGAGGTGAGAGCTCTCTAGCGGTTTCATTGCTTTTGCTTTTCTGATCTTCACGTTGAACCCCAATATCTGCCTCTGGGTTTTTATGAATTGTGCTACAAAATATTCCATGTTGGAGGAGGGTTAAGTTTGTTGTTATCTGGGTTATGCAGAAAGGTAGCCTGGAGGGAAGTGGGGTGAGTCTGGCTTGACTGACCGTCATGTTGGTGCAATTACTATCTTTATTGATCGTGGAGGGGCCAGTCTGATGTGGGAGTCTGACAGGAAGGAGCTGCCTTTCATAGGAAGCTGTAGGCAGAAGTAGCTAGAGGACATTCTTGTGTGGGAGGGACGGCGAGGAGATCTTTGACAGTTTCCAGAAGGAGGGAAGAGGATCTGGGGAGCGCTGAAGCAGAGGGATGAGTGTGGAGGACAGGCAAGGAGCGGGAGGAGGTTATTTTTAATTTATTTTTTAATGTATACAATATTCTGTCTGTGTGTATGCCTGCAGGCCAAGAGGGCACCAGACCCCATTACAGATGGTTGTGAGCCACCATGTGGTTGCTGGGAATTAAACTCAGAACCTTTGGAAGAGCAGGCAATGCTCTTAACCTCTGAGCCATCTCTCCAGCCCAGCGGGAGGAGTTTTTGATAAGGGAATTTTGGAGGGATAGACTCCGAGGCCACGGAAGGAATTGGGGATCCATTGGAAGCTAGGAGTTGAGGGAGCTAGAGGTGGGACTAGATTGTTGGAGGGATCTCGGGGTTTGTTTACGATTGAGGTGTAACTGCAGCAAGTGTGGAAACAAGGAGGCCAGTTTGAGACAGTACTCTCAAGAGTTTTGGAGAGGTCATATCGGGGGCCACCATTTTGGAGTGACTTCTGCCGTGATCCTAGCCGTGGCGAACTTGCATGTCCCAGGGTGGGAGCGTGAGGGTTAGAAAAGCATTCAGTAGGAGGAACAGAGATAAGAAAGAACCACTAAGAGGTAGGATAGTAATCGGAGGGCAACTCAGAGTGGAACTCTGCAGTTCCTTCCCCACATACTTTTATACCCGAGACAACAGGGAAGAAGACAAAAGCCTTGGCAACAATGAGCAACTAGAACAGTTTTTACTTCAATACTTTGAGATATCAAGTCATTAGCATTCCCTTGTTTAGGCAGTGAACCCACCCTAGGCCAAGTGTCCCGGGAAGGCTGTCACTCCCAAGGTCAAACCCTCTATTTCTAAGAAGGGGTGAAAGTACACTTAAAAGTCCTGACCATTGGTCAAGGATCTACCTGTGCGGGCCATCTTAGTATCAAAATGACCAAGTAACCACACCGTAGGTCTGGATGTGCAGGCCACACTTGTTGCCAACAATTGAACAAGCTAAAACTCTCCGACCTTCAGATAAGGTGGAAATAGGCTCCCAGTTTTTGGGTCTCCACAAGTTAAGTGACAGGGGCAAAGGTCGGTCCTAGGAAGTGTCTATGTATTTGGGAGGTATGAGGATGGATCTGGGAGGCAGAGGACTGGGGCAGAAAGGACAGCAATTTAAGTTTGATGAATTGTTTGTGGGTGGGAGGAAAGTGCTCAGGAGAAGCCCGGAAGCTGGTTGCTATAGGGAATATACCAGGGGTGAGTATCTAAGGACCCGTGAGTGGAAGAAACGGGCTGAGGACAGAGATGAGGAGCAAAGATGGCCAGGTGTTGAGAGAGAATCTTAGGTAGGTGACCTGGGTAACCCTGGAGCTGAGGAAACTGAGGCGGCGTGAGGTAGTGTCAGGTTGGCTCTCAGAGAGGGAAGGACTGCAAAGGAGGAAGCCCTCTACATACTGAAGCAGGCAGCAGGGAAAAGGGGGGCAAGCCAGGTCCAGACGGTCTGGAAAGGGGCATATGGAGGTGACCATATGGTGGAGAAGGATAATGGCAGTGTTAACCGAGTGTAGGTCTTGGATTAGGTGGGAGGTTCCACTAGGTTTTGGTTTTGGACTGTCAATATAAGTGAGGTATAAAAACTGCTTGGGTTAGGGGACTGAATGATGGGTTTGAAGCCTAGGCCGGTGAAGGGCATGGGTGTTGGGTTTGGAGATGCAGGCAGAGGGTCTGCAGGTGTCATAGAGAGGGAGAGGTTCATGATGTGCAGTACGGAATGGAGAGGTGGTACCCCATACGGTGGTACCCCATACAGTGGTACTCCATACAGTGGCACCCCATACAGTGGTACCCCATATGGTGGTACCCCACACAGTGGTACCTTATACAGTGGTACCCCACACAGTGGCACCCCATACGGTGGTACCCCACACAGTGGTATCCCATATGGTGATACCCCACACAGTGGTACCCCATACGGTGGTACCCCATACAGTGGTACCCCATACGGTGGTACCCTATACAGTGGTACTCCACACAGTGGTACCCCATACTGTGGTACCCCATACAGTGGGCTGACTAAAGAAGTGGGCAGAGGGTGAGAAGGGTTTGGGGATTCTGGAGAGTGGGTGTGTACAGATTAGAGGCTGAGGAAAGGGAGACAAAGGGTGTAGGGTGTCTGGGAGCTGTTGCTGGGGTGGAAGGCAGAGCTCATGCCAATTTTGGAGAGAACAGCCTTTCCGAGTGAGGGAACAGATCCTGAGGAAGTGAGAAGGGAGCAGGAAAGAAAACTTTGCAAGGGGGAGTCTGGAGGGGTGGGTCGGGGTTGTGTACTGGAGCAGGGGGAGTCTGGAGGGGTGGGTCGGGGTTGTGTATTGGAGCATGCCCTGTGTAAGGAGCTGGAGGCACCGAGAGGAGTTCTTAGACTTGTCTTGACTTTTTTCTCGGACTTACATACGTTCTCAGATCTCATAACTTAAGCTTTCGTATTTTAGACTTTATATACTTTAGATGACTTTCTTAGACCTGCACAATTTGTATCTCATTTTTCCCTGACCTAGATAACTTGTCTATTTCTCATGACCTTTAGAAACTCCAAATCTCTTAGAGCGCGAAGGCTGTCGGCACACCAAACTGTACACATGGGATAGATAGAATGACCAGAAAGCTGGGTGTTTGTAAAATACTCACCCTTCAACATCATCAGAGATCAAGAAGGACAAATTTGACTGGTTTTTTTTTTTTCTGTAGTTTGGAGCCTGTCCTTGAACTCCCTATGTAGACCATTTTTTTTCTCTCTCTCTCCTTCCTTCCTTCCTTCCTTCCTTCCTTCCTTCCTTCCTTCCTTCCTTCCTTCATCCCTCCCTCCCTTCCTTCCTTTCTTTCTTGTTTTATGTTTTTTTGTCTTTGGTTTTTCGAGACAGGGTTTCTCTGTAGCTTTGTGGCCTGTCCTGGAACTAGCTCTTGTAGACCACGCTGGTCTCGAACTCGCAGAGATCCGCCTTCCTCTGCCTCCCAAGTGCTGGGATTAAAGGCGTGTGCCACCACCTCCGGGCTGAAGCTGCAGTTCTTAGTAAGAGCTGAGAGAAACCTAGAGAGACGAGGGCATGAGGGACAAATACATCTCTGTGCTGAGAACCTGGTCTTGGTGCGTCCTGGGCCTTGCTTCCTTTCAGTGTTTGCTGCAGTTGCCTGCAGTAGAAATCACCCAAATGGTGGCCAGTGGTAAATAAATGGCGTGTAGTATATCCGTACAATAAACATGCAACCACAAACATACAAAAAGACTGATACGTGGGCAACATAGATGAACCTTGAAAATAGTACACAGTACAAACAATGCCAGTCACAGAGAATAAGTTCTAGGATTCGACTTCCAATACATTTCCAGAATGGCCATACCCCATGGAGACAGAAAGTTGATTGATGGTTGGTTGCCTAGCGACCAGTGTGGGACAGGAGAACTGAGCTCTGTCGATTGCGTTTGGGTGGGTTACTCAGTCTAGGGGTTTGTAACCCACCCTGCAATCAGTTATTCCAGGGTCTTGGAGGGGCGCTACCTGGAAGGGAATGAGCTAGGACAGAAGAATGAGGCTAAGCAGATTTGTCAAAGCCCCTGTTTATTAGGATCATGGTTGCTGCTTATATAGTCCCTGTAGGGTAGGGAAACTGGACTCTTGCATGTTCCAGGTCACATAGGCCAGGAGGTAGGCCAAGAAGTCACAAGTTGCCACACCTGGTTCCCTGGATAGCTGGAAAGTGAGGCGCGTTCCGCTAACAGATAAGTTAATTGGATGTGGGGCAGGTTCTCTCAATAGAACATAATTATGGGTGTGGGGTTCCCTGCAGACTCCCCAGGGTGATGGTTCCTGTAATGATTTTTAGGGGGAAATGGCTCGTGACAGAGCTCAACTGCTAATGGCTGGATTATTTTGTGGGGTGAACAAAAATGTTCTAAAATTTATTATAGTGAAGGTTGCAAAACTTGGTGAAAACTCTTTAAATATAGTTGCATTTTTTGGTAAAATTCAAAATAGGTCAACTGTCCAGTGAGCAAAATCTCAGCAAAATCATTAACGAAAATAAAGGTGTATTAGATGTGTTATGGGACCGGAACCTGGTGCATAAGGAGACTCGGATAAAAAGCTGGACTGGCTAGGCGCACAACCAGGGACCCCAAGGCCACTGGCCCCTCAAAACTACTAACAGAGAGGACCTTTTTCTCCACTGCCTGATTCTGTTTTTGTCCCTCTGGTCTGTTGCCTCCTGTTATTTTCTCCTTCTCAGTGGATATGAAAGCCCAGGAACAGGGGTAGACAGATGACTCAGGGATAAAGGGCACTAGCTGACTCTTCTTACAGAGGACCCAAGATTTGATTGAAAGCACCCTTACGGTGGCTCACTATCTATGACTTCAGTTCCAGGGAGATCTGATGCCTTCTTCTGGCCTCCACCTGCACAAGGCATACAGGTGGTACATAGAACTACATACAGGCAAAACACTCAGCAATACATTAAATAAAATATTTTTAAAAAGTATATGTAGGCAAGCATAATACACACACACACACATATATACACATACACACACACATTTAAGAAAAATGTCCAGGATTCGCAAGCCCTGCAGTTTCTGATGCTTAGAACCAAAACGTCCCCCAAGACCAAGAGGGGAGATTAATATCTGTAATTCCAGCTCTCGGGAGGCTGAGGCAGGACAGAGTTGGAGAGCTGCCTGGGTCTGCATAGTAACACTTTGTTACAAAACAGCTGCCTGGGTCTGCATAGTAACACCTTGTTACAAAACAAAACACACCCATCACTCAAGTATAAAAGATTCCAGTAGGAGCTGGCAGAACCAGCTCTTAGGTAATGATGGACCAACCCACAGCCTGGCCTGGCCAGAGCCAACACAGGCCATCAGTATGGGAAGTCAGTTTTCTTCAGCTACCAGACCTACTAGCTTCCCAGCACGGGCACACTGCAGTGACCTCAACACGCATGCAATCACTCGCCCGTCATGGTAATGACAGAGCAAACTGCAGAAATGCACGGGACACACATGCTGGGATAAACAGTGGTTGGGTCCTTTGCTCTGGGGTGGTGGTGTCCTCCTTTTCCTGTCTCAGAGGGCCCAGGGAATCAGCGCAACCCCAGACAAGGGGTTTTGGAGAACACTAAGTCATATATGTTTGGGTAGGGGGGGGGGGCAACCCTGAATCTAGACCCAACTACTCAGTGAATTCAAACAGCATGTGACAGTTTACTAATATAATGAATATTAAATACATCTGTGGGGCTAGAGAGACGGCTCAATAGTTATGAGCACTGACTGCTCTTCCAGAGGACCTGGGTTCAATTTCCAGCACGCGTATGGCAGCTGATAAGTGTCTGTAAATTCATGTCCTGGGTGATCTGACACCTTCACACTATTGCACACAAAATAAAGTTAAATAAGTCAGAAAAAAAATTTTTTTTGGGGGGGGGGGTTTCGAGACAGGGTTTCTCTGTAGCTTTGGTGCCGGTCCCAGAACTAGCTCTTGTAGACCAGGCTGGCCTCGAACTGCACACATAAACACACATACACATATATGTGTGTATATATATTGAATTAAAAAACTGAGGACAGGACTGCTCTGCATGGTTGAGAAGAAGGTCTACTGTAGATCTGAGGGAGAAAACAGCCAGAGGTTTCTGGAAGGATCCATACTGAAGTTGACCAGCAGAATAAACTGGGCCATGGGAATGGGGTAGTGGGAGAGGAAGAGAGAGGAACCAGGAACCAAGAGGCCAGAGGACCAAGAGAGCAAGAGGACACGTAGTCAAAACGGCTGGGTTGTATAGAAAAAGGAAGCTGAGGGAAGAGAAGTAAAGCTCGGGCTAGGGAGGCTGAGGGGGAGGGGTAACTCTATAGCAGGTGTTGGTGCTGAGAGACCAGCATCCACGTTGATACGTTAATAGGCACCCCAGCCAGGCATTTGCCCTGCCAGATTGATGGCTGGATCTCAGAGCAGGCCAGCTTCATTGCAGGACTGAGGTGAACGGTTTCTGTAGCCCATAAGCCTCTCCTGTTGAAATAAGGAGCGGCGGCGGGGCTGCGTCCCCAGCACCCCGGCCGCCTGCTAGCTTATGCCCGAAATAACAACACACAAACTGTATTCATTTAAAGACTGCTTGACCCATTTCTATCTAGCCTCTTCTAGGCTAATTCTCACATATTAATTTAGCCCATTTCTAATCATCTGTGTAAGCACCCCAAGGTGCGCTTACCGGGAAGATTCTAGCCTACGTCCATCCTGGGTCGGAGGAGCTTCATTGCATGCATCTGCCCGGGAGAGTGGAGCATGCCTCTCTGTCTGAGGCATCTGGCTGAGAGGAGCTGCATTACTTCTGACCTCACTTCCTCTTCCTCCCAGCATTCTCTTCTGTTTACTCCACCCACCTATGTTCTAACCAATAAAATAGGCCAAGCCAGTTTCTTTATTAGCCAATGACCTTCCTCCATCACTCTCCACTGATGCAGCAACCGAAATCAGACCAAATAAGTCAAACCGAATTAGGAAAAAAAAACAGGTTTAAAGGATAAAACGTTCCCGGATGATTTTCCAGCCCCACAGAGAGGAGCCAGGAGGGAAAGGAGGACTAGAAAACCATAGTCTGCCTTCTGGGAGCAGTTTAAATCCCCTGTGGGAGTGGTCTTGAGCATCTCTGGGGGATGGGTCATCAGAATGTTCGGAGATGTAGTAGGGTTTGGAGAGAGATGGGGGAGAGGGTTTGGGGTGGAGCTTCCTCCAGAACATTCCAGACTCTTTGGGTATATGGATGGCAGGGGTTTGGGGTGAAGCTTGCGACACTTTAAATCCCAAACTCATGAGTCAGAGGCAGGAGGATCTCTGAGTTGGAGGCCAGTCTGGTCTTCAAAGAGTTCCAGGATGCTAGGATGGAGAGATCATATCTTCAAAAAGAAATAAAAGCAGGCATTTGCATTTAATAAAGATTGAATTTTCCATCAGGGGATGGTGGGGGAAGCAAACCTGGATCTTTCCCATCTGGACTCCATACGAGTATTTCGATCTTCTGTGGAAAGTTGTTATTATTACTTTTATGGCGGTGGGTATCTAGGCTACCTGCTGATATCGAGCTGATGATAAGGTCTCACTACCTAGTTCAGATCGGCCCCACCGCTTGTGTGCTTATTCCAGGCATGTGCCTGCACTCATGTGCCTTTTTATATTATGTTTTCCCATCGTGAAGCTCAATGAAAAGTTAAAAAAGGAGACCATGACTGTTCCTAGGTATGGTGGAGGAGAAAGGTTATTGTAGATGAAAGGAGACATAGTTAGAGGTAGAGACATCTAGGAGAGGCCAGAGGAAACATGACCCTGAGTCAAGCTATGTGAGGAGGGTGTGTGTGTGTGTGTGTGTGTGTGTGTGTGTGTGTGTGTGTGGTGGTTTGAGAGAAAATGGCTCCCCAAAAGAGTGACACTATTATGAGGTGTGGCCTTGTTGAAGGAAGTGTGTCACTCTGGAGCCAGGCTTTGAGGTCTCTTATGCTCAAGCCATGCGCAGTGAGACAGTCTGCTTCCTGTTGTAGCAGCTCCTCTCCAGGACCATATCTGCCTGCAGCTCACCATGTCCTACCTTGATGGTAATGGACTAAACCTCTGGAATGGTAAACCACCACCTCAATCAAATGTTCTCTTTTGTAAGAGTTGCCATGGTCACGGTGCCTATTCACAGAGGCAAGAGAGTAAAGGGTAGAGGAAGGCCCGGGTAACCGAAATGGCTGGATTATACAGGGAAAGGCAACTGCGGGAAGGGCAGGCCCAGCCCCTGGGCTGGGGAAATTTAGGGCATGAAGAACCAACTTTAAAAGTCTTTTTTTTTTTTTTTTTAAGACAAATGAAGTTCATTCCTGTGTATGATTAACTCTGTTTCTCAAGAATTAGGCTGCACCCACCGGCAGCCTTGGCTACAAATGGTTCTGTACTGTGTGCTCCAGGAATGGCAGTCACGGCTTTGTTTCCAATGCTGTTTATGGCCCCCCTTACAGCCCTACCTCGGCGTCTAAAGGCCATTATGACTGCCTGTTGCTGTGCCCACCTTACGGTCATGTCTTTGCTTCAGGAAGTCCTTAGGGCAAACTCCTTCAATCCCACCAATTTTGGCTGCCAACCCCCCCATTTGGAAACCCCTACCTCTGACCTAAAAAAGCCTTGTCTTCCTCACATCCGTGGCAACCACTCAGACCCCACCTTACAGCGAGGCTGCCGGCATACACAGATACAACAGCTTGCTTTAATTAACTGCTTGTTTGAATTAATTTGGCCATGATGATTTGGGTCAGTGGTCTTTCTCCTCCCATCTTAACAGATGGGGCCATGGTATGCCAGTCCTGCCCTGTAGCCAGTCCCAGGGAGGGATAGGGAAGCTGGGAGAATCTGGTGGCTAGGTCGGCTCTCATATTAATAGACACACCAGCCGTTTGTCCTAGGCTTGAGACCTAACGGAAGCTTTATGTTTTGAGGGGCTGAGGCTGTAGCTGTGTCTGGGTGCTTACCTAGCACATGCTACACCCTGGGTTTTAGTTTTTGGTCCACCACTGTATGTTAACTTATCTTTATGACATTTATTTATGCATTGTGTGTGTGTTTGTGTAAGCACGTGTGGCGAGGTGCTTACAATTTTGGATAGTCGGTTCTTCCAAGTGAGGGATCAGGGAATCGAACTCAGGTCCTCAGACTTGGGGCAAGTGCCTTTACCTGCTGAACCATCTTGTCATCTCCAAATTTAACTTATTTAGAACCAATATGCAGGGCTGGAAGTGGATCTGCTGTCGCAACTAGAGGGAGGCAGAGGCAGGAAAATCAGAAATTCAAGAGATCCTGTCTCACAGATCAAAACAAAAATAAAAAAAAACCGTGCAGCACTGTTACAGAAGGAGAGAACTTTAAACTACTCAAAGGGTAAAAGCATGCTTCATTAGCCAAGTGTGAAAAGAAACAAAAGAACTTTCCGGAACATTTTTCTGAGAATCCGCGAGGGGAACTACCGAAAAAAACAAACTTCCCGTAAGCGTGCCACTTCCGGACAGGACACTGGTTCGGTGGCGGCCGTGTAGACCGGAAGTCCGTCACCTTTCCCGGCCCGCCTATATCCGGAAGTGACGTAAAGCGGGGTTGCCGGAAGAAGTGGCGAAGTTACTTTTGCTTTGCGCTCAGCCAGCGCTGTTGCTCCGAGCTACTCCCCGGCTTCAGAAGTTACTTCGGAAGTGCTGAGGGGGAGCAACTACGGGTGCGGACACGGTGGCAAATGCGCAGGGGGCGGCGGAGCAGGTGGGGCTGGGCAGGGTCCGCGGGCGGCCGCGGTCCCGCTCAGCGCGCACCCGCTTCCCTCCCTCTGCCGCAGCTCCCGCCTCCCGCGGCCGTTTCCAGGGCAACGGAGTAGGAGGCCCGCGCGCCCCACCACTTCAAGACCGCCGGTGCAGTCATGAGCCCCGCCTCCCCCTGGTGCTCGGAGAGGGGCGGGGTCTGGAGTGAGGTGGGCGTGGCTCTGCGGGGCGTGGTGTCGTGTAGGCGAAGCCTATGATTGGTGAAAGGGGAAGCAGATGGGGCGGGGCATGGTGTAGATAAAGTCTGATTGAAGGTTCCTGAGCCGTGGATGTTGCTCCTTGGGGCGGGGCCTGGCTCATTGGTGGGGGCTTGGACCCAGGGGTAAAGAGAAGGAATGGACACGGAAAAGTATGATTGGTGAGTAGGGGGCGAGGCTAATGGGTGGGGCATAGCATTGGGAAATCTTGATTGGTTCCTGGTAGGCGGGGCCTGAAGTTAAGTGGGTGGAGCTTGGAGTCATTCGCATAGAGGGCATGACAGATAAAAGCCTATGATTGGCTTCTAGGGATTGGTATGGGTGGGACCTAGGCTGGAGCGGGCAAAACTTTTGGGTATATGCCCAATTGTGGGAATGGAGTACCAAGAGTCCTGATAGGGTAAGATCAGGGGTCTGTATTGGGGTGGAGCAAAACCCTGACGAAACCTGTAGTAGGAGGGCATAGGTTGTGGCCTGATGGGAAGGGCGGGTCAAAGTAAGGATGGCGTATGACAGGAGCGCAGTGGGAGCACACAAAAGAAGAACTTGAGAATTGTTGGGCTCTCTTGGTGTTAAAGCAGTGGAAACTGTCATGGCGGGTCATGATTCATAGGAGGAGCGAACAGTGGACTGGGCTGAAGAAGTGGGTGGGCATTGTTAAAGTCGGTCGGATGTTTGTACGGGACTAGGGCTGGCAGTGGCAGCTCAGTATAGAAGTATAAGCACTGAGGTGTAGTGGCACAGCCCTGTGATGCCAGCCTTTGAGAGGTCGAGGCAGGAGATGTTTGAGAGGTTCAGCCTTAAGCATGAGATCTTATCACAAAAGAGACCTCGAGCCTTGGAAGGAGAAGCACCCCTATCATGACCTGTAATTGGCTGGGTCCCCTGTGTTCAACAGGCTGCTTCGTGACCCACCATGTCTTCCCCCACAAGTTCTCTGGATACACCGGCGCCTGGTGAGTGACCCACTTCCCCTACAGGGCCCCCCACAGTGCAGGAGAAACTCACTGTCCCCTCTCCCATCTAGGGAATGGTTCTCCTCAGCCCAGTACCTCCTCGGCTTCGCCCACCATCAAGGAGGAGGGGCAGGAGACTGACGCCCCTCCAGGCTCTGAAGGGGCCAGCTCTGCCTACATCGTAGGTGAGACAGGGAGACAGATGGGCTTTTCCTTCTGTTTCCCTTTGACTTCTCTGACTCATTCTCGGGGGGCTACCGACCTGCAGATCTTTCCCTTGCTGTTGCAGCCCTGTCCTCACCCTCACTTCGGGACCTCCCATGGCCTGTCGCTAGACTGCTTTCTGTCTTTGTCACTCTCTCTCTCATGGGCTCTGCTCACCCCAAGTCATCTTAGAGCCAGAGGATGAGCCTGAGCGCAAGCGAAAGAAGGGTCCGGCTCCGAAGATGCTGGGTCACGAGCTGTGCCGCGTGTGTGGGGACAAGGCCTCGGGCTTCCACTACAATGTGCTCAGTTGCGAAGGCTGCAAAGGCTTCTTCCGGCGCAGCGTAGTTCATGGTGGAGCTGGGCGCTATGCCTGTCGGGGCAGTGGAGCTTGCCAGATGGACGCCTTTATGCGGCGCAAGTGCCAGCTCTGCAGGCTGCGCAAGTGCAAGGAGGCTGGCATGCGGGAGCAGTGTGAGTGCGGGGAAGGGAAAGACGGGGGCGTTCTGAGAGGGGGAGTCAGTGCGGGTGCGCTCCACCACTGAGGTTCACTCTCCGGCATGCAGGCGTGCTTTCTGAGGAGCAGATTCGAAAGAAAAAGATTCAGAAGCAG